TATATGTATACGGGTTAAGGGTGTTACAATGTAGAAATTGCCTGATAAATATTAAAGGGGTTATGTTCCCGGTGAATCTGATTAAATCACTGTTCGACGAGTTTGAGATCATTTTGGGCATGGATTGGTTCTCTCTTCATTATGGATGGGTATATTTTCGCAAGAAGCAATTATTTCTAAAATATGAAGAGGGTTTAGAAATTATCGTAATTGGTGAAAATGTGAAATCACTGTCCAATGTGATATCAGCAGCAACTGCTAAGAAATGACGTCAGAAGGGTGTACAACCTTTCTATCTAATGTGTTAGATAATCAATTATCTAAAATTAGATTGGATGATCATCCAATAGTTCAAAAATTCCCCGATATTCTCCCAAATGAATTACTTAATTTACATCTAGATCGTGAGATGGAATTCAAGATTGATGTTGTACCAGGTAATGAGCCTATCTCTATGGCTCTAAATTGAAAGACTACTACCAAATTAAGAGAACTAAATGCCCAGTTACAAGAGTTACTCGATCAAGGTTTCATTAGACCCAGTGTATCACTTTGGGGAGAACATGTGCTTTATGTGAAAAAGTTAGATGTGTATATACGATTATGCATAGATTACTGACAGCTAAACAAGGTGACAATAAAGAACAAGTATCTCCTTCCGAGGATCGTTGATTTGTTCGATCAACTAAAAGGTGCAGCGGTGTTCTCTAAGATTGATCTTCGATTAGGATACTACCAATTAAAGATTAAAGAATAGGATATTCCGAAGACAACTTTTCAGACTCGGTATGGACATTATGAATTTTTGGTAACGTATTCTGTTTGACTAATTCTCCTATGACATTTATGGATTTGATGAACCGAGTATTCCAACCTTACTTGGATCGGTTTATGGTGGTATTTATTGATGACATTTTGGTGTACTCAAGGATGAAGAAGGATCATGATGTCCATCTTCGTATAGTCTTTCAGACTCTTAGAGAGAAAAAAGTTGTACGCCAAGTTGTCACGGTGTGAATTATGGTTGTCTTACTTTCTTGGCCATGTTGTTTTGGAAAAAGGCGTAAGAGTAGATCCCATGAAAATTCAAGTTATAGTGGAATGGAAACCCCAAAGGACGTATCTTAGTGTTAAAGTTTCTTAGACTTGCTGGTTACTATCGAAGGCTTGTGGTGTAACACACATAACCCGTATACGCGAATCAATATGAGTTACAAATATCATATCAGAATTCAAACATTTCTTTAATTGATCTGAGTAAAATTTTGTTTCATTCAAACAGCTCAAGTTTCATAACTTGAACAATTATTATAAAATAATTATTCAGAGAAAAATAATAATATATAATAGTTTCAAGCAGTGATAGACAGTTTTATTATATTTTCATAAAATAAATAAGAATGTCTAACACAATTGATTTAAAACCTAAATGAATTTTTTAAGCATAGTTTAATATCATAATATTAATTATAATTAATACTAACTATATTAAGAAATTGTTGACATTTCATTATTGTAAATGCCAGCTAGAACTTTTAGAACGTAATAGGATGCCATCATTGTTACCTGTAAATATTTTCTTTTTGATTGATTCCAAACCCAAATCCGTACTCATTTTCATCCTTTTTCCTAAGTGTGAAAATCATGACACGCTAAGTATATACTTAGTGAGGCAACCATATGAATATTCAAAGCAATGCAACAGATAAATTTAAATGAATAACCATATTCAATGCAATCTGATCACTTACCTGTATTCCAACCATGTTACCATATATTAACATGATATAACCGGATATCAAGTTTCTTACCATTATACTTGCCATTCCTTCCACAAGCTCGTAAGCTTAATTGTCTATTTACCATTTATTAACAAATAAACCATAGCCCAATTTAAACCCTGAGGACCCTGGGTATTCCAGTTAAATATATACACCGTAGTTCTAAACCTCCACTAAGCTTACGCTCTAGTTCTAATCCGGATATGAAACATAAGGTAGTGACGACCACCTACAGTAGGTTTACATTCTAGTGCTAATCCGAATATGACACATAAGATTGTGCCCACCACCTGCACTTACTTTCCTTGCACACTAGTGCTAATATAAACCTGTTGCTACTATACTCTATGGCATACCAATCATTCCCTGTCCCTCAATGACTTACTTGGGCATATAGTCTATTTTTTTATTCCATCAATGGCAATGTATATTAATATAATTTAAACTTTGGGCAGTTCATACCCAAAGTAACATTTGTAATAAAATCATTCATATTCATGATAAAAATCATATATATAATAACCAGTGATCAATTCACTTTATATTCAACATTTGGCATATTTAGAATATGTCAAATATATGATATATGACAAAAATATCATTCCAACATAAACATGGTACACTTGTCGAAAGTCCTACCCAATGATGTATAAAACATCCATGTATAATATTATATATGCATGACACTCACTTTGACATTATATACAAGTAAAAATATAAGCCTCACCAAGCTTTAACTTGATCATTTGCTTCTAATTTGGTTAAATCGCAAAATTTTTCATAATTTCACATCCTGACAATTTGCACTACCTTTAAAGAAATATTATTATGTATTAATATATACCTTTAAAAATTATTCAATTTATACCAATGGAAACTAGACTCAAATAATAAGCTCTCCATATAATGCACTTCTTCTATTTCAATTTGTACAATTTATGGTAAATTTTCAAAGTTGACCAACATAATATGCTTCTCCATTTTATGGACTTATCGTCTGTTAAAAATTCATATCTTTTTATATAAACCTCGAAATTAGTTTTCCCTTGTTCTAAAAAAACTAGATTGATATAAGAACCGAAAGGTATAAAATAACTCTCTTATTATTGTTTTATAATTTATCGTAATTTTCTAAACTTACTGTCTATAACATAAATTCTAAGCAGGTTTCACCAATTTACATTTTTGACTTATTCACTAATTCTATTAGCTAACCAAATGGACATATATGCATACATCACAAACCACATAACATTTTAGGAGTTATTTCTTACCATATTAATTCCATCATTGGCTCATCACAAGCCAATGTTTGTTCAATAATATAAGTACAAATTAAATTTGCACTCACATGGTGTCCTTAGCTTGCAACATTCCTTGGAATTTTTCATTTCATCCTTAAGCTTCTCCTTAGCTTTAATAATATTTGATCTTCATTTCAAGCACTCAATATCTAAATGATCATCATTATCAAACATATACAAATTGAAACCAAATGTTAGAATCTTACTAACATATGCATACTTTGGAATATAAATTCATAACAAATTGTTCGATGCTTATTCGATATAATTTCCATGTCACAACATAAATGTTGACCTTAACACTTCCAATTGACCATTCAAATTCCATTTAATCCAAGTTCACATAAAATTTTCACTAAAGATCCCAACCTTTCCATATTTGTGATTTAAACCTCAACTTTTACAAGCTTTCAAAAATAATCCAATTTCACATCCTAACTTCAATTTCAACACTCAAACATTAATTTCCAACATAGTACATCAACTATTGAACACTTCCACAATAATTCACAAGTTTTAAAAATTTGACAATTTGGTCCCCAACTTTTAAAAAAATAGAAAATGGTCCTCAATTTTTTTATAAGGCTACTAGAATACTTCCCAAATCATTTCCAGTCCCTACATAATTTTTTAATAATTTTTCTCATCCTCTATAGTCAAGGTGTAATGCTTTATATGTTCAAGATTAGGGTTTTCATGATTTTACTCGATTTTGATTCGATTCAAGCATGAAATCAACTCGATTCATGCATGAAATCAACTTCAATTCAACCATATAAAATCTCTAAAATCAAAACCCTAACTTAATTTCATCAAAACACATCTCTCCCCTAAAGCTAGGGCTTGGTCGAAACTTTATAGGTTCATATAACCATGCACAAGTGATTTTAATCATCAATCATGCTTGGAAATGTTTCTATAGCCTCAAAAACATCAGAAGCCTTCATCAATTCCATAAACCCTAATGTGAACATAAACCCTAGAATTTGGGATCTTTGAACAAAAACCAAATTAGCAAACAATAATGCTACCAAATGATATGTTTTTCGAATAGAACAATTTTCTATTTCACGGCATGATCCAAATCCAAAAGAAATTGGTCAAAAATGAAAAAAATAAAAATTCTCTTACCTTGTTCATGGGGAGCACGAAATGTTGGCTGAAAATGGCTAAGTTTTCATGAATTTTTAATGAATTTCATGTTAATTTAATGAGAAATGTCCATTTTCCATTAATGAAACTTGATATTTACCTTAATAACAAGAGACATAAACCTTATCATCTTCCAAAGTCAAAGATGGATAAAATAATTTTACCTTTACAACTTTGCCCATGCCATTTTCAAGAAAATGTAATCTTGCCATTTTTCATTCGACGATCCAAATTGAACATGAAAATAAATTATCAAATCCAATGCTCCATATTATTTTCCAACATTTTAAAATGTGGAAATAATAATTCTAAGCTTAATTTATCATCCTTCAAATTTTCTCAAAATTTTATTCGATCTGATTTACCGAATTTTTACCAGACTTTAACACTTTCTAGTTTTTAACAAAATATATAGACCAAAAATATGATTTCAATAAAACCCCACTCTCAAGTGTAAATTGTCCATTATTGAAATACAAATTATTTTTTGGAAAATTACCGCTTAGGTTCCTGAATTTTTCCTAATTTTCTACTTTGGCCATAAAACTTTTAAAATTTTAATTTTGGTCACTAACCAAATTTTTTTGTTATTACAGGTGAAGAACGATGATAGTCTCATCGCTAACCAAGCTTTTAAGAAAATATTTACTTTTTGTTTGGATAGAGAAGTTTCAAAAGATCTTAGAAACATTAAATAAGATCTTAACAGAGGAACCAGGGTTAGTACAACCAGAATTAGGTATAGATTATATGGTTTTTAGCGATGCATCTCATAACGATTTATATTGTGTTCTTATTCAAGAAGGTAAGCTTATTGACTATGCCTCAAGACGGTTAAAGACTAATGAGATAAATTATCCGATACATGATCTTGAGTTGTCATCAGTTGTGTTTGCTCTATAGATTCAGTGCAACTATCTGTATACTGAGCGGTGCTACATTTACATGGATCATAAAAGTGTAAAGTACTTTTTGACTCAAGAAGAGTTGGACATGAGACAGAGAAGATGGACAGAACACTTAAAGGGTTATGATGTGATCATCGATTATCATGATGAGAAGGCTAATGTTGTGGCCAATGCATATAGCCAAAATAATTTTCCAGCTCTGCAAGCTTTGGATGCACATTTCTCTTCAATGGAAGATGGCACCTTAAGTGTAGAATTAGTGTTAAAGCTGATGCTTTTGGATCGGATAATAGAGTTACATGGGAAAGATGAAAAATGCTTGGCAAGGATTGTACAAGTGGAAAAAGGTGAGACTAAGGACTTTGAAGTCAGAACTGATTTATTGGGGGAGACCTTCCATCCCTGACGATGAAGAAATAAGGAAAAATAATCTTTTTGAGGCACTATAGTCCATTGACTTTTCACCCAGGTGGAAAAAAGTTGTAACATGATTTAAAAAAGTCAGTATTGGTGGCCTGGTATGAAAACAACTATCACTGAGTTAGTTGTAAAGTGCCTAACATGCTAACAAGTGAAAGCTGAACATCAAGTACCTTCCGGATTGTTACAACCGATATCTATTCCCAAATAGAAGTGGAAACGATTCACTATGGATTTTTTTACATGGCTACCTTTGATACCCAACAGGAAAAACTTAATTTGGGTGATTATTGATAGATTAACCAAGATAGCTCACATCATTCCAATTCGAGCATATTATAAAATGGATAAGTATGTTGAATTGTCATAAAGGAGATAGTTCGACTTCATGGAGTACCTGTATCGATAGTATCTAACATGGATCCAAGGTTACTTCATAATTTTTGAAGTCCCTGTATAAAGTGTTAGGTACATGATTAAACTTCAACATATATTTCCATCCGTAGACTGATGGTCAGTTCGAGTAGGCTATTCAAATTTTGGAATATATGCTAAAGGTGAGGGTAATTGAATTCAAAGGATCATGGGAAAAGTGTTTGCCTTTGGTAGAATTTGCCTACAACAGTTATCAATTCGGCATCATGATGGCTCCATATAAAGCCCTATATGGTAGAAGGTGCCGAATACCATTAAATTGGTTTGAGTTAAAAGATTGATATATAGTTAGCCCTAACTTGATAAAAGAAGTGGAAGATAAAGTGAAAGTTATCCAAGATAATCTTAAGATAGCTTCCGATAGACAAAAGTCTTCCGCATACTTGAAAAAAAAGAGATTGAATATCAATAAGGTGATAAAGTATTTCTGAAAGTATCATATTGGAAGAAAATATTATGGTTTGGGCGTAAAGAAAATTTTTTGACTAGTGGCTTATCATCTAGAATTGCCTCCTAAAATGAATAAGATCCATAATGTTTTTCATGTGTCAGTGCTTAATAAGTATCAATCATATCCTTCGTACGTTATCACCCAGGAGAAAATAGATATTCAGCCAAATTCAACTTTTGAAAAAGAACCCTTAGAAATTATAGCTCGAGGAGCCAAAGAACTTCGAGCAAGACAATCACATTGGTCAAAGTTATTTGGCGAAATCTCAAAGTCAAAGAAGCTACCTGGGAAAGAGAATAGGACATGAAAAAGTAGTATCCACATCTTTTCACTCCATATATACAATAAAATTTGAGGATGAATTTTTATTAAGGAGGGAGAGTTATAATACCCCATGTTTTGGTTATTGTCTAAAATGTAATTTTTGAAAGTTTAGGGGCTAAAGTATAAAGATGGAAAAGTTTAGAGAGCAAAAGGTAATATTCAAAACTTAGCCTCGTAAATGAATTGTTTATCCCTAAGAATGTTGTTTTGGTGGAAATTAGATGATTGATCCTGAATTTTTGTTAAAAGCTATAAAGTGCTAAAGTCCAGTAAAAATTCGATAAATCATATCAAATATAAAATTTAGGAAAATTTGAAGGTTATTAAATTAAGCATAGAAGTATTATTTCTACATTTTAAAATGATGGAAAATTATATAGACCATTGGATTTGAATTTATTCCCATGGTTAATTTTGACCATTAGATGAAAATTGGGAATAATGAAATTACTAAAGAGTTACATGGGTAAAGTTGTAAATGCTAAGAAAATTTATTCATCTTTGACTTTATAAAGATAATAAGTAATATATGGCTTGGTATGTATGGAATTATCAAGTTTCATTAATGATAAAATTGTCATTTCTCATTAAATTAATTTTTAATTTATTTAAACTTAAATAAATGACAAATTAACATGAAATTAAGAGGAAATTTCATGAAAGCTTAGTTCATTCATCCTCCATTTCCATGTACCCCAAACACTAGGCAAGAGAAATTTTACTTCTCATTTTTGAGCAATTTCCTTCAGATTTTAGATTAAAACGTGAAATAGAAATTTTTCATATTCAATGAGCTCTATCATTTGGTACCCTTATTGCATGGTAATCTTGCTTGATTGCTAAGATCCTAAATTTTAGGGTTTATGAACATGTTAAAACTATATAGAATGATGATTGATTTTGACATTATTGATGTTGTATAATCATTTCCAAGCTTGATTGAAGTTTAAAACACCTAGAAATACATGTGTTGATTTCAACCTAACCCTAAGTTTGGGAAAAGTTGTGATTTGATGAAATTAAGTTAGGAGTTTAATTGTAAAGGTTTTGAAATGATGAATATACATTGATTTCATGCTTGAATAAAGGGAAAATCCTTAAATCCTAAACCCTATATGTTTCAGACCTATGGAAATAAGTTGGAAAAATTATGAAAAATTTCACATGGCTTAGAAATGATTTTAGGAATTTTATACAAGACTTAGTAAAAAATTTGGACCAATTTGTAATTTTATGAGAGTTGATGGACCTATTTAATAATTTTGAAAATTTATGGGGTTATTGTGTAATTATTCAATAGTTGATGTATATTACTGCAATTTTAATGTTAAATGGTTGAACTAATGTTAGAATATGAAATTTGATCATTTTGGAAAGTTAGCAAAGTTAGAGGACAAATGGAAAATAGTAGAAAAGTTAATGACTTGTGGTAATAATGGTTTTATTGAGGTATTGGGCTGGAAATTAAATGCTGAAAATTTATTTAAGCTATTTAAGGCTTGAATTGAAGAAATAATGGAAAAGGGCCATTATGTACAAAAAGGAAAAATTAAGATGAATTCTAAAAGGATTCATAAATAATAATAGTTTTGGGTATTATTATTGTGTATAAAATGTTAGTAAGAATACTAACATGTATTACATATTTGTATGTATGGATGCTTGTCTAGATCATGATAAAACTCTTGATACAAGCAATTCGAAAGGTAAGGAAACAATACAAGAGTAAGTGGATATCCGTAGTAAGGCATAATAGTGAGGCATACCAGGTGAGTGTATTTTATTATGTATTTATATGATATATGGAAGACTTGCGATGATTCAACCTTGAAAGTTTTTAATAGACATGTTTTTAACGCATTACGATACATTTTCATGAAATTTAATGAAAACGATTTTAGGATATAAGCTTCCTTGAAATAAATGAATGTATTTTAATAATATTTTAGCATCTATTGATGTTCCTGAATAAATGTTCAATCTACAAGTTTGATATAAAAGCCTTTTGTATGTACATTGAGAGTCATAGGCGCGAGTGATAAACATTGAGTAAAGTGGTCATCGATCGATTCAATTTAATGCATTATTGTATTAGTAAATTTGTGTACTTATGGAACTATGTGTGCAATGGTGGTGTTTATAACGAGTTTAGGTTGTGAATTGTCATTCCAAAGTGTTAGTATATCGTTACTGTGTACTACAATACATATACTTTAGTTTAGCACTTAGGTGCGAATTATGTACCTTGCATTCTCATCTGTTATACATTGGGTTGGGAATGGATTTTGAATATACCAATTGATAAATATGCTATGCATATGTAGTAATATTTCGCAGGTTATGTGGAAAAATATGGCTTATCAGTTAGTTTTATGCATTTATATATTTTATACGATTTAAATCGTATTTTTATCTTTTATGATTTACTTATATTTTTAAAATGTCTTATTCATTTTATTATACCTAACTAAATATTTACTTAGCGTTTAATTTTTCTTGCGTAGGTAATAGCGTACAATCGAATTAAGGACTACAGTTGATATCGTCTGTCAAGGGTTGCCTCATCAATAGCAGTATGACTTCTTGAGATGTTCTTTTGATATTACTAGTTGGCATGTACTTAGTTTTGATATGATGCTCTGGTAGGATATTTGATATATGGTTTGTAGTATTATATTATATTTGAACTTAAAGTACTATGTGATAAACATAATCGCTATATTACATATTAGTAGTTGATGTGCTTTTTATTTTATATTATATTATTAAATTGTATAATAAAACAAACACATTTTATTGTTTTTTAGTACGAAAAATGCTTTAAAAGACATGTGACATCTTCAATGCGCGTTTGGGGTCAGATATGGGAAAGAGGTGTTACACAGTCAAACAAACACATAGATCATGTGCAGTTTAAGTGTTACACAAGAGCATATGTATTGTAGAACAAACCAACACTATATTAATAATCGAGGTGGTATATCACAAGTCAAAACCTCATTAATGCCATAAATGCACATATAGTGCCAGGAGTACATGAATATATTAACACGAGAGTACCCAAAGGTACTAATACATGAGTGCATGAATGCACTAATACTGGAGTGCACGAAAGCACTAAACAAGATCGACTGATAAAAACTCTACCTCATGACATGTAAATTGTACCAAAGACTCTCAATGCGCGTACAATGGCCCTTTATATCAGAATCTTATACTATGCATTTATTAAGAGTATCTGTCAACCCCTAAAATTTACATATTCAAGTTAATATTTTAATTAGCGTAATTGAGGAACCAAACAACTGATTTCCAAAAATGTAGATCAGTTTTGTGAACATATGATTAGTTCAAGGTTTTAAACAATGATTCCCCATAAATTTATAACTTTAAAAAAATTATGTCGCTCATTAGAATTGAACCCATGTCCTCTGAAACCTATATCCTAAGCCTTACCCATTCAAGTTAGGCTACTATAGCTAATTGACATTATAAAAAATATTTCTTATATCCAACCTAGATTAGTTCATGTTTTATCCTTTAATTTGTTTCAAACTAGCTTACCCATGATAGCCAATTGTTTCTATAAAATTATTCATTCCTTAAACGATTACCCATTTTCTTTCATCATACCTTTGGCCAGTGGTGGTGTACACCACCACCACTCACTACTCTAATGACCCCTTGTAACCTCCAACCACAGATCTCAACCATCGACCGATGTGTGTGTCACCACCACCGCCATTGGAAATATCTCTCTCATCTAGTTATAGCCC